AGTCGTTGTACAAAAAAGACCATATCATCCAAGTTTATACGTGTATTTAAAGTTAGTTGAAATTCTTCCTGTCGACACCAAAAGTGTGCTTCTAAGATGACTATTGAAGCAAATAAGCAATGCAGACGTTTCGTCAAAAGTGTGAGAGCTCTATCGATGATAAAATGTATAAAGTAGTTGATAAAAAAGTTAAGCTCTTAAAAATAGTTTTAAAATGCCAGAAATATTTCAGCTTGAAATTTTTTTAGGCGAAATGAAATTGTATTTCATAAAGTAGAATTAAATGAAAAATCTTAGTCATAAGAGAAAAGGAAAACAAAACTAGAGGATATGAGTATTATTAAAAAGAATTTAAAAAAATTTTAAATTATATTCATGATTTGTGAAAAAAAATTAATCAATGTTTTTAAATATATAATTTTTAAATTCTTTTATTAGTGAAATGAAAATATCTCACAAATTAAAACAAATAAAAATACTGAAATAGGGAATTTACCTAGATAAAGAATGTGTCTGGCACGTTATTCTATCTATCTATCTATCTATCTATCTATCTATCTATCTATCTAAAAAGATGTAAACTTTTATATAGAAATAATTTTTGATATTTCTATAGCATACTTTAGGCAAAAAATAAATAGCAAAAAATTCAAAATGACGTAACTTCTACAATTTTTGAAATTATTATAATATGTTAATTTCTTTCACCCAATATTACAATTTCACCAAATTTATTATTAATCCGGAGACCACTTGCAAATCGCTTATTTTTTAAAGGAGTCTTACCCTTATTTTTGTTATTCTGCACAAGAAATATTTTCAGAAGGGTATTATTGTAAATCTAATAGATAGCCGCAATTCCTACGTTTTTTTATTTTGATAGTTTTATATGTGGCACAAGGATGTTGAATTAATGTACCACTCACACATCTGCCAAAGTTTCTCCCTCGAATTCCGTCAATAGTGCTCCTTTGAGAACACTTTGTCGGTAACTCACAAGTTCAAGCAAATCAACTTAATGAATATAGATGCCCCTGGTCCGAGTGACCAATGAGTTCTTGATCTTTCAAAGTTTCACTTCCTATTCAAATTAACAAACAACCAAAAACTAGTATCAGCAAATTACAACTACGAGGCTTATCTATTAATATTTTAATTACCAAAATTAATATTTCTCAGTTACACTTCCCCCACAGCACCGAAACTATCCTAAAAATGTAGTAAATATTTACTTGTAATATTTGGAATATTTAATTGCAAAGTTTAATGAAAATTGTGTAAAGATTTAAATGTCCCGATTAAATAAATGTTTAGTGTGAAACTTTCCTTAACATTTATTCAAGTGGGACATTTAAATCTTTACATAACTTTTAATAAACGTTGCAATTAAATATTCCAAATATTGCAAGTAAATATTTACTAAATTTTCAGGAAAGTTTCGGTGCTGTGGAGGGTTATAATTAAACGTAGTCACATATTTGAATGATAATTTTTCTTCTTGTAGCTTATCAATTTATCTTCATAAACCAAAAATTTTTTATTGTCTGTTCTAAATGAGAAATGTCGTTAATAAACTCGGTGTTCCCACCCTTGGTGCATAATATACTATTCTTATCATTAAGAATTGAGAATATTTAACTCTTAACTAGCACAAATCCGCGTTCGAACGTAAATGGCACAACGGGTCTGCTGGACCCGATGTATTCAAATGTGTATTGGACAGTCGGTATTGAAAATTTTTGCACAAAAATTTAATCTGAGGCGGCTTATTATGTTTTTAAAATGTAATTATTGTTTTACAGGGATTAATTTATTTTAAGTTAGTTAAAAAAAATTATGAAAAATAAAAACGAAAAATTGCGCGTTTTTACTTAACAATTCATATGTTATTTAAATTTTAATACTATGACTTAAAAATTTAAGGTTATACTCTTGATGTATTATTCTTTAAGGAAAAAATTACCACAACAGCAGGACTTGGGAATTTATTTTGCAGAATTAAATGTGACTTTTTTGGTTAAAATTTATAATTATTAATGTTTGAAGCTAATTTATTCTTTTGTATCGAATTAGTTGTATCAAAAAACTTAAAAAATTACTAAGAATATGTCAAACTACTATATTAAAATATAAAAAATATTCAAAAGCTACACATTCAATTAATTTGATCTCGAAAAAATGCCGGGTCTACTAGACCCATGGTTAAGGGTTAAAAATAGAGAAGAGAAAAAAGTGCACTTTGGTACTTTTCTTTATGGTAATAATGTCAAGAATATTTTTAAAAATTTCAAAAAATGTACAATTTAATAATTACAAAATTTTACAATACAGTCAATTAAATTAAAATAGGATTAAGACAGATATTTATTAAGCTCAAAATTTCTATATAATAAAAATATAAAGACTAAGATTTACAAAGCAATATGTCTTTAAAATTTTATATATGTATATATAACCTTTACATACATACATACATACATACATACACGCTTCGCTTAATTGAAATAAGATATACATAAGCAGTTTCCCAGATGAATAGTGACTATGGGTTCAGTCTTGATAAAGCATGGTTAAGGCTAGGTCAATATTGGTTGAGGCTTGGTTAACAATGGATAATAAGAAAATAATAACAATAATAAAGCAGGACCACAGAAAAATCGATAAAAGACCTTATAAAAAATAATTACTGGAAATAATTAGTGGTATAATTATTGGAATAACTACTGGATTAATTACTGGAGTTTTTAATAATTTTTTCATGAAATGTATTTTTTAATAAAATTTTTTTAGTAAAATTTTTTCTTAAATTTCAATGGAACCATAATTTTGTGTAAAATTATTCCTATGCATTTAATTTACAAAAAAAAAAATATTGCACAGACATAGGATATATTCCAATAAATGTAAAACTTAAAGTGAAATCCCACTTTTTTAAAAACTATTGATTTTTTGTTAAAAAATTCAAAATGGCGGATCTAAATGACTGACTAATTTTTACAAAAGTTGTTATTTTTTATGAAACTTGTTATTTTGGGGTTTACGGGGTCGCTGATTACGAATCCGATATCAGTTTTTTAAAATTTTAAATTGCGGATCCAAAATGGCTGAATAATTTTTAAAAAATGATAATCAATTCCAATTCAATAATAATTCAATACCAAATTTCTGACCTTCAAATCAATTCGCGTGGACGCTAAAGGGGGCGGGGTTATGATTTTTTTGCTAAACCAATATTAATAGAGGTTCGAACAGTGTACGGAATTCAAAAAATGAGCCAACTTTAAAATACAAAGAAAAAATTAATTACTTGATAAATTATAAATTAATATTTATTAATTAAGTAATTAAAAATTTAATATTCTTCACGCGACTTTATAATTTATTTTAATATTTTGAAGGAATTTAGATGTAAATTGGAGACGAGGATAATCAAATTTAACTTTTTTATTTTGTAATGAGTTTTTTCTTTCCTCTTGAGCTATAATTTTCATAAAATTAAAAAAATTGAATCCACATAGTGCTTTCTCTCTTTTACAAATATAAAAATGAGGTTCTCAGGGGGGAAGACCATGCACCTGTGGCCCCCCTGGATCTGCTCCTTGTTAAGTATTTTTATTATAAAAAAAATATTTATTAAAATTAGAGTAAATTTTACAATTGTTTGTTCTCTTTATTTAAACGTTTTTTATTGATTAACTAAAAGTTTAATTATTTTATAACCGTATTTTTAAATAAAGGTGAGCATTAACAAATACATGAATTTCATATAATAAAAAAATTTATGACCTATGTACATGTTATTTTTTATTTTAATAGGAAGCTATTTTCATATATAATGGGAACAACGTTCTGTCAGGTAAAAATGTTGGGTTGTTTGGTGCATCCGACACGTCGAACAAGTCAAAATTATAGAATTTTTAACTTTACAACTAACCAGTTGATTTTTACAGAATATATAAAACTTATGCTTATATGGAGAAAAAATTTATTTTAGAGTAAAATATTTTAATCACATAATACAATAGGTGTATATATGTCTGAAGGTACTGACTCATTATATAGGCATCAGGCTGGTTTCTATGCAATATAAATCACAGACTTATTTATTTAATTATTCCCTTTTAGTTGAAAGGAAAATTTGAATTTATTTTCATAAATTTGAGGGATATCACGTAAAGTGGTCAAAGGGAAAAAAGTGGCTTTTTTCCTTTAATTATTTTTTTCTCTCTTAAATATTATCTAAATAAAATTTTTTTATGAATTATTATTAAATTATTATTATCATTAAATTGTCCAACAAGGTTTCCATTGCAAATTCAAATAATTTTATTAAACGATCCTGTAAAAATCAGCTGGTTGATAGTAAATTTAAAAATTCTAAAAAATAACAAATTTTCAAAAAATTCATCTGTTATTTTTGATCCACCATTTTGAATTTTGAAAATCGGACTTCAGATTCGTAATCAGCGACCTCAAAAACCCGACCTCAAGTTTTAAGCGAATTCAATAAATTCTTAAAAAATTCAACCGCCATATTGGATCCGCCATTTTGAATTTTGAAAATTTTTGAAAATATAACTTTGGATTCGTAATTAGCAATCCCGAAAACCCCCGTGTAACAAGTTTCAATTGAATTCAATAAATTTTTTTCAATTCGTCTGCCATATTGGATTCGTCATTTTGAATTTTGAAAATCTGACTTCGAATTCGTAATCAGCGACCCAAAAAACGTTAGAATATATCATGAACCAACATTTATGCATCATTTTTGGGAAGAAATTAATATGTATATTCACTTATTCACGAATATAGCATGATATGGTATTAGTTTACAAGTATTTTGATCTATTCGATGTTTATTTTTATTGATTAAAATTTTGGGCAGACACTTTTTTCTTTCTTCATTTTAATTTTAATAAAAAAATTTAAAAGTAAACAGTAGTTATTAATAATTTTTTAAATTTATTCAACATACGGAAATGGTTATTTATTTTCTTTAGTTCTTTTATAACGAGAATTTGGAAAAAAGTAAACAATATGAGTACATACATTCCTATAGACTATGAGGGGAAAGATGTTGCTTGATCAGAAGTCAATTCAAGTTGGAGTTTGGAAACTTTACAATGAAAAGAAGGTCTTCGATTAAAAAGAAGAAAGAATCTTTCCAATTGGAAGAAATATGATCTAGGGAGTTGAACAAGATTTGATAAGCTCCATTATATTGACAATATCAAAGATACTCACAGTAACATAAAACAAGTAAGTTCAGTGTATTTTTATTATTGTCATTAAAATAATAATTTAATTTTAAGAAGTGCAAGTAATATCCACTTTCAAAAAATGTTATTCTTGAGGAATTTTATGTTAAGAGATCAAGGTAAAAAAAGTTTCTATCAAAAGGCGCTCATGCTTAGCTAATTTTTTCAATTAAATAATAAATTTTTTAAAAATATTTTCGATATCCCCTTTGTCGCCTTTTCGACTGGTAAAACCCATTTTTGTAAAAAAAATTGACCAAGAAATAAATGGATTTCCAAAAATTGACATCGAATTCGTAATCAGCAACCCTGAAAACCCCCTAGTAACAAGTTTTAAGAAAGTTTATTTAGTTCTTTTGGTTTTACTCGCACTTTTGAATTTTTTTCGCTTTTTAAACTATTTTTTAAACTTAAACCTTAATTTTAAAAAAATCTGTCCATTTTTTTGGAATTTTTCCATATACATGTTTTGTTCAGGAGGTCAAAAACTACAAAATTACAAAGTTGCAAGAAATTTCACCGGACCCCAAATTCCCATGTATATGGTGCGGGGTTCTTTCATTTCTTTTGGAAAGTGTTATTTCCTATACGGAAAAAATTTTTGGCGACTAATCTAAGACTCCCTGATATGTTTAAATATTTTACGGTTTTAAATGTTATAACGTAGATTTTAATTTATTATTCAATTTATTTTAAATTAAAATTATTTATTATTATTTTTTCAAGACAATCCACGTTATTTACACTTTTTAATTATTAATTTTGCCAAGACGCCAAGTTATTTTATGGAAGATAACTAAACCTAAAAAAAATATTCAAATAACCCGACAAGTAAATTTTATAATTCTTATTAGGAAAAACTAAAATCAGCTCAGGAATTGTATTGTTTCTTCATAGCAACAATAGACCGCGGAAAGGGGGGGATAAGGATAAATACCATTAATTAAACAAAATTTATAAAAGTTTCACTAATTATTAATAATCACTTCAAGTTTGATATTTAAGAAAGGTGCAGAAGGCGGACTAACAAGATTCAATTTGATCTTAATAATTACTATTATTTTTAAATAATAATAAGATCGATTCAGAAGGAAAACGACTCATAAATTAACACTAGGGCCTCACTGCCCATTTGACGAGGACGGCGATGACGCCTCGTTTCACAATTCAAGATTTATTTCACTTTAAAGTTTGATTTCACAAAAAAAGAAATAAATTAAAAGACGAACTACATCATTCAGATCAATTAATATTCAATAATATAATACCCGCAACCGATAATCGATACGCAGTCGTCGGTAACGCAGATCTCTGCACTATCCGATGTTAAATTGATTGACGCGAGAAGTCCATAGGAAATTGGCTGCTAATAATAGTTTGACAGATCGTCAAAAAACAGCAATTTCGTCTTCCTTGTGTTCTTGAATATTTGGGACTCTCATACAAATATATACATTAGGAAGCTCTTCCCTTGATGACTTCTAATTTCAATGATAGATAGTGATGTCCTTAACGTCTTTGTGACCAGTCGAGAATCCTCAATGCCTCGCGAGAGTTTTCATAACAGAACGAAAGGACAAATCAGAATCGAATTTATTTATTTATAGGTCGACTATTAATCTGACGACTTTGGCAAGTTGGTTTGTTAATACGTGAATTTGATTATTTAGAGAAAATGAAGTGAGTATTATAAGAAAACAATTTTTATAATTCATAACATTTTTTTACCTCCCTGGTGTCATTTATTTACAAAATTTATTTTAATATATTATTTTTAAGTCATTTGTACGCGATAAAATACTGTGTTACAATGTATATACATAGCAATAGAGAACTTTTTTGTATTTGTTTGAAAAATTTTAATTTCAAGGAAGCTGTTTATGTGTTTTGGCTTTTAAAGCAAAATAAAGCAGAGACATGTGACAAAGCTTATCAACAAACAGGATATGGCAACAATGCAAGAAACTGTGGAAACTGAAGAAAAATTTCAAAAGCAAACAAAAAATTAATTTTCAAATACATTAGACACTAGTTACACATATATTGCGCAGTTAACACAGATCAAAGTAGATGTAATTACTAAACTATAGTCACTTTATATTCAAGGAGTAAAAACTACCATTAAATTTTTTTTTTAATAAATTGACCCTATTGAAAAAAAACACGTATAATTATACGTATAATTCTTGTTTCAAATTCGTATGTCTTATTATACGTATAATAGTACGTATTAGTATACGTATATTTATACGTATTATTATACGTATAATTATACGTGTTTTTTTTCAATAGGGGAAGCATTCGTATACATGTATTACAAAACCTCTGGTATTCTGAATCCTAAAGTTTTCCTCTTTATGCAAGAATCCAAAAAAGGTTTTACCTTTTTTTTACCAAAAAAAAAGTAAAAGTTTTAGAAATTAATTTTGAAAATATTATTGTAACTTGATCAAAATTAGAAAAAAATAACTTTAAAATTAAATGTAAAAGAATTAGGAAACAATAATTAAAGAGTGTGTGGAAAATAAATAAATGTCGAAGAATAGAACTTTTGTAGTAATGATCTATCTGTAGAATGGTCAAATAGACACGTGATAAAAAAAATACTTTATAGAGTATCTATAAAGTAATAAGCAAAATTTCGTATGGCGCACGAAATGAAAGGGCTGCCGAAAGTTGTCGAAAGCGAATAAAGATAGTTCATTGATTTTATGAAAAATGACAGTTTTGCTTCAAGTATTTTGTTAACTTTGCAAGTTTTTCAAATAATTTAAAAAAGGAGTTCATTTTTCTAAGCATAACATACTTATAAAGTGTTTTTTTTTTAACTTCGAATATGTAAATTTTGTTATGAAATAATAGTTTTATTTGTAAAGTAGACATTTGAAAAATTTTAAAAGTAAATATAAAGTCTATTTTTCTACTTTCAATTTTACCATTTTAGTAGATTTTTTCGGAACAATGTTTACGAATTTTACGAAAATCATTTATAATGAACATAAATAAATAAAATAAGAAATAAATTAAGAAACATTTTTGCTGTTTATATTTAATTTTGCAAAATTGATTTTCATAAGATATTTGATACCCTTAAAATCTCAAAACAATTTATGTATGTTCACTATTGATAAATAATGGAAATGGTTGTTAGCGGTTCGTAAAATAACTGCTTTAGAGGTAGTATCCAACCGCAACCTGACTACCGTAATTAAACATTAGCACCCAAAACAATCTATGCTTGTACTAAAAGGACATAAAGTTTACAAATGTTGATACACAATGGTCTTTGCAAAAACTATACAATGAAAAAAAATTTATTTGGATCAAATAAAAAGTATTTGATCCAAATACATCACTTAATTGTCTATTATCCAATAAATATGTATTTGAACCAAATACTCATTTACTAAATCTAAGTATTTTATTTTATCGTATCAAATAAATAGTTATTTGAATCAAATACAAAGTATTCAAATCAAATAAATGGAATATTCAAAGCTAATAAATAATTATTTGAATCAATTATGAAAATTATTTCATTCAATACTGCATGTTTTTTGATTTAAATAAGTATTTATTTGCATTAATAAAATATTTTTCTTGAAACAGCTAAAAATTTTCTTGAATCAAATATTCGATTATTTGTCATAAGTAATTGTTTTAATTGAAACTAAACTATTTGCATAAAATGTAAGAATTTTTTGATTCAAATAAATCAAAATTTGAATTGAATAAATAACATATTCATTTACTAATTCTTCCATTTCTAAATTAAATTCTTACTCAAATAAATAAATTAAAAAATATGTAATTTCTACATACTATGATCGCATATTTTCATTTATCAACTAATTCATACAAAGAATTAATGATTAAACGCAAACCTGAGAAATAAATAAATCTAACGCATGGGGGGAATCGAACCTACGACCTACGGATTATGAGTCTAACGCTTTACCAACTACGCTACGCACGCTACGTGAAAACGAATGTTAACTTCTTGATGTTAAGATATTAAATTATATTTTCCAATTAAATGCAATTTATAAAATATAATTAATTATATGCTTCATGATTATTATCATGAATCATCCCAGGTGAATTTTCAAAAAAAGTGTAAATATATTTTTATTAAAAACGCGTTCTGAATCATTGTAAATATTAATTTTTTGTTGATGAAAAAATATTTGACTTTTGGACTTACAGTATTAAATAATATATATAAATAAATGCCCGAGGCGAAATTTAAGCCCTAATTTACAAGGAGTAAAGTAGAGTTAAACAGACCCTCTTTAGCTTCCTCAACTAGTCGCAAATTTCCCTTTCTTCCACGTTTGGATTTAAAGTAGGGTCTAAAAATTGATTAAAATATTGAAAATTTTGAAATTGCTCTAATTCTATTAATTTTTTGAAAACGCTTCAAAATATGTTAATTCCAGTTTTTAAAGGGTAATTAAAGAAATATTGTGTGAAGAAAAAATTCATTTTGCTTTAATCAAAATAATTAAAAGAGTTTTTTTTTGCATTTTTTTGTACTTTTTTAATCGAACTAGACCCTCTTTAGCTTCCTCAACCAGTCGCAGTATTAAATAATTTAGTTGACTTGAATCAGTTAAATAAAGTTATTGTATCAAATACTTTTTATTTGTTTCAATAAAACGAAATATTTGAGTGAAATAAATAAATTAATTGTTTCAAGTAAATCACTATTATCGTTTCAAATAAATATTTAATTGATTGAAATATTTTTTTATTTGTCTTGATAAAATAGTGTATTAGGATTAAATAACGAATTATTTGTATTAAATAATTCAGTTTATTTGAATTAATTACATAAATTTATTGTGTCAAATACTTTTTATTTGTATCAAATAAACGAAATATTTGAGTGAAATAAATGAATGAATAGTTTCAAGTAACTCATTATTTGTATTAAATAAATTCATTTATTCAATTCAATTAATTATTTAATTGAACCAAATACGATGTATTTGGTTCAAC